CGATGAAACACTTTTACGCGAACTTCGATTTGGGCTGATGGACAAACTTCGTTTTGGGCTGATGAACAAACAGATTGCAACTCATCCCAATCTGAAGGCAAACGGGGAAAGAGAAAGGATAGATTAGTGATTTACTGATTATCTTGTTTCCGCGCATGCCAGGTCATTGGTACTATAAATGTACCCTGCCAAGGCCATTAGTACCGTAAATATAGTGCATGTTGTTTCCTCGTGAGGTGTTGGTGATTTTTACCAGGTATCTCCCACAAGCGGGGAACTGCCCCAAGCTCGAAGCTACCGACGTGTGTGGTAGTGTAGAGAATGTAAGCGTGTGTGTGTGTGTGGAGTGTGACGATAGGTCAGGAAAGAGGAAGGAAAGATCGCGCGAGGTCCGTCGTCGGTGTGTTGCGGTACTACTCCGGCATTCGCCTGATGTTGACTGAAAAAAAAACCAAAAAAACCAACGGAAGACTATATATCAGAGCGGCTGGTCGCTACAATTCTCCAGGCAGCTGCTGATTTCGTTCTACCTATCTAGCCAGAATGGAAAATCCCGCCATCACCGGCACTCGAACCCCAGGACCTCCCAGTCGAAGTGCAGAGTAGTGGATTGGTATCAAGTTATTCTTCAAAGTCAATATTCGAAGAATATGATCTGAAGTTTACAAAAGTACAAACAAATATGAAGTTCTCACTAGAGAAGGAGTATTAAAATTTGTCAATAAATCTCCGAACAAAACATATTTATTGGTGAAAGTTATTTTTTTGTTAAGTGCATTTGATGGCTGTCGTTGAAATGAGATAATGTCTCTCTGTTAAGCCGTCAAATACTGTGAGGTTTGCTGAAACAAAGGGTGAGAACAAGCGCGTTTTCACGATTACAGATAAAAATTAAAATAAAAGTATGAAATGAGACAAATATAAAGGAAAATCATAAAACCTCAAGCCATTTCGCCACCAAAATATATGTATTTCTCTTCGGTCATATACAGAAAAAGCGTGGTTGAGCTTAGGCGTCGTCCGGCCTCTTCTTGGTCTTCTTGGGGATCTCCAGGCCGCTGTCGAACTCGGAGAGCACGAGGTTGCGCATGCGGCTTCGGTCGTGCGCCTGGAAGGCCTTCGGCACCGCCGCCGCCCTCCTGCAACAGAGCCACACACGCGCTACAGCCACAGGAAACAGCTGGGTGCAAATGAACACTTTCGGTGCTCATACTACAACGAAAGCCTTCTGGTTAATAAATGCTAATGGTGCAAATGATAAATTATTATTCAACTGATTACAATTAAAGGATCCAATGGTCCATGAATTGAAGGGCAATTCGAGTAATATCAATTGCAAGATCAATTAGAATTTTAAAATATTTTTCATAGGTAATCACCAACCAGTGATGCTACAACATAACACAAACTTACATTATTACTAATTATTATTATTATTATTATTATTATTATTATTATTATTATTATTACATTATTTGTAATGATAAAGCTACAATAATTAATGACTAGAAACGGCAAATGCTGAAAATGCCAATTTTAGTCACTTGACACACTTAGCATTGACCCTCAGAAGTGTATGTTCGCGAAAACCTCGAAATCGGTAAATAGCAGAACTTCGTATATATCCTAATACTACCCGTGTGTGTACGAGATTATTAAGGTAGGCGAAAATACTGAAAATACAAGCACGGAAGGAAATCGCATGTCAATTTTTTTCTATAAGGATAAATAACAGAAGTAATACTATTATAATAAAAAAAATGTTGCTACTCGCTTCCATCATCACACAAAACGTTAAAGAAAGTACTTACAGGAAGTGCCTTGTAAAAATGTACGATGCACACCCTTTTCACACACACACACACACACACACACACACACACACACACACACACACACACACACACAGTAAAAAATGTATTGAGATTTCATATACTGTTTTTTTAAAACTTTGGATACTGTACGCAAGAAAGCATATTCATGAACATTATTATTGAAATGTAATAAGAAATGGAAATACCATTGTCTCAAACACTAGAACGATAAACCTTTGCCACTTCTGTATATGCGTGCATTATCAAGAATGAAGACACAACAAATTGTTGTTTAAAATGTTTTCAAAAAATGAATTTGGCTGCGCCAGAAATGTATACAAGTAAACGTGTAACCAAATCAATTTTTCGTATGTCGTCATGCATATGAAAACAGAGCACATATCTCACTCTGGCCTCACAAAAGGAATACGAGGAACGTTAACAGAACAATGTCAGCGAATAAAGGAAATGAAACTGCATCACTAAACAAAGAAAACATAACATACAGTGTCACGGTAAACGCATTTAAACAGAATCTAAACTGGGGAGTGTTTATAACGTGGCCATTGTCGCCCGCAAAGAGCAGGTTCCTCGTTGCATATCAAACACCAAAACGGGCGGGGGCGGCGCGGAGGGCCAGCTCGAATCACCGTTGAATGAATAACGCGCGGGAGGGCGCCGCAAAGAAGCGAGGGTCCTGCCCAGCATGGCATGTGCCCGGCGCGGGCCGCGACTCATCAGATCGCAGGAGAGAGAGAGAGAGAGAGCTCCACCAGCGAGGCGAGGGCATGCAAATGGGAGCGGCTGCTGCTGCTGCAGGGTGGGAAGGGGGAGGGGGGTAATGCGGGCTTCAGTCGGACCGGAAGTAGCGGCGCGGAGGCTTCGCTCGCGCACGGGCCCGTAATTGGCCGCAGAGCCCGAGCCCGGCGCCCGCATTACGTTCGCTCGAAGGGTTCGATTTGCGATGCCGTGTGTTCTTCCAATTAGTGCGAATAAGGCAGAGAGCCGCGTCCGCACGGACGGCCAGCGCGCCGCCTGCCGGCCCGCCAGCTCACTCGCCCGCTCGCGCGACCGCCCTCGCAAGAAGCGACGAGCCACGCCCCCACCCCACTCGCAACACACGCGCTTTGCGCCTGGCCGAGGGCAGGGGCACGCAGGTGCACGCTCCCCGTGCTCATAAATGGACCAAAGCCAAACCAGAAGAAATGGAACCACGCACGTTGTGGGCTAACACCTGAATCATACTGGCTTTCGCACGAGAAACAATGCCGTAAAGATGGCTGTAAAGATGATGTGACACTGCTTATGCACCATAATTCTGAAAATGGTTTGTCACAAAGCCTAACAGACTAAGCAACGGGATCAAATATCGCATTCGTGATAATTGAACGATCTCTTAGCAATGAGCATTGGTATATACGACACATTTATTACACATGATATACACCGTGAATTGTTTGATTCCATAGCTCATAAAACGGAAACTCCCTGCCTCGGATCCTGGGTGGAATCAAATACTTGCAACTCGTGACAATTCATGTTGTAACGTCTCAATCTTCAGAACGTAACAGTTGCAATATCAACTCATCAGTTTCTCGTCGATCGCTCCTTCTTTGAAAAATAAAGAATTTTCTCAATATCAAAAAATTACAATTTAATTTCAAAACTTCTGTCACACGTAACAACTTCTTAAACACGTTAAGAAGTTATTACTGATAGTGTATCTAGCATACCTAGCATGCATTTACATTGCCGTAAATCTGAGAATGATTCCAACTTGTCTCCAAAGAACTCGCAAAGCATACTACTTGTTTACTTAGGTCTTCTGAAATAATACTCCACTGCTAGGAGAAGATAACTGACAATCATGACTATCTTTTTTAACATGATACCCCGTTGCTAGGTAGAGACAACTGACAATAGTAAACCCGTACGTTACAATTTTCAAACGAGAAGAGTGAAATTCACTCAAAATGCTGACCAGACAGTTATTTAATATTTTTTTTAAAAATAAATAATAAAAAAACGAGAGAAGACCGCGTCTGGAGGCCTAGGCGAAGTCCGGAGGACGGCGTCGTGCGCGGGCAGCGCACGCGAGCGCCGCGTCTGTGAAAAGCGACCGAGTCGCAAAGGAGCGAGCGCGTGCGCCGCATGTCAGAGCGGGGGCGACACTTCGCACGGACGCAGCCCTCTCCAAGACCGACAAAAACACGACTCCACACAAACGCCACACAGCTCCGCCTTCATCATCGTGAATCTTCAAGTCGATCACACGGACAACACTTTTGTTTACCCTCCCTTGTCGAAGTCACCAAAATAATGCATAAATATGACCATTCGAGTCGTGAGAAAATTGCATCAAATCGTAATTTTCCAACAGAACGAAGGTTTGATGTCTCGACATTGAGTTCTCCTACGTTCTGATGAAGGATAATTTTCTCCAAAGTTCTGAACACCTCTTACTAATGGTAGGTAAACGTCTCTATCAATCGAAGTGAACAATATTTTTTCACCACTATCTTTCTTGGTGGATATTTATCCGCAGAAAATAGCTTAAATATAAAATATTTCATGCACTGTAATTACTTAATTTTGCGATAAGCTGGAGTATAACTAATGTGGCGTAATTGTATAGTATGAGTTTTTTCCCTTGTGCGTGTTATGTTTTAAAAACATCCAGAAGTATTATAGAGACAATCGTCTCGAAATCACACCCCGTCGAATGAATTGTCAATTTACAAGTGTTTTATTGGTGACTGCTTTGCGTATAAACCATCAAGTACTACTTGTATATTCAGTATATGTATTGCTGAATTCACATTTTGAAACAATTTTGTTTCCTAATGTATCCTGTGTAAGTAAGAACTTTTCACGGGCTTTCTAGACAAAGAATCAAAGTAACTGAAAAACTTCAATATTCCAAAATCTAAATAATCATCTCTATCAAAACAAATTCATGACTGAGGGAAAGGTAAGCACTGAATCCCCGTTCGTCAGCTCCGTTTCGGAGGCAACGCCCCAACAAGGAAGGCAATGTCTAGACTGCGCAGCGCTGGCGGCAGCAGCAGAACAGCAACACCATGTAAGGTGCCTCCGCACGGGGCCCAGTTACTCGCTCAATGCTCCGTCTTCTGTCTGCACTATTTACACGAGAGGCACCACTTGTCGGTCATTAACCACTGTTTACGGGGACAGTGAGTCAGGTAGTGTTGCGCGGATGCCATGTAGTAGCACGGTCGTGCTTAGGTTGCATGGTTGTGCGCAGACTCACTTAATCGTTATACTCATTATTAGAAATATCTTTTCGATTTAATATCATTCAGTAATCGAGATATTGTAGCAATATCGATATACAAAATTATTTTGAAAACAAAGATACCCCGTCGAGCGGTGTCTCGGGCGTCTGGTTACAAACCACGCTACGCACCGATTTGTGACGTCACGCTCATATCGTTTTAACATTGCGAAGCACGAGCGTCCCGACTTCACAAGTATCCCTATGACTCAACATTGTCAGCGGTCGGTCATACCTCGTGCGTTTTCGTACCGCAACAATACCTTAGAAAGCGCCACAAGCTGTCACCGGCAGAGTGCTGGCAACTCATTTCCGACTGCCCTTGGACAGACTCTGGGAATAACAAGTTTTCTGTCTTCTCGTAATGCAACTGTATATACACTGTACTGAGGTTTCTGTGCAATGGAGCTTTAGGAATAATTATTTACTTAACAATAATAATTAACAATTATTGCAATGTAAACGAATGCAATTTTTATTAGTTACAGATGTGTCCGACCTCCGGAAAGACGTTCCAGCCTGATCTGAGCAAGAGAAACTCCAAAAGTTTGTAAAAGCGAGGTTAACGTATATTTATAATACTGTTGTAACTGTTCGATCATTAAAATAATTTATACTACATAGAAGTTCTTGAGTTTTGATTTAAAAAAAAAACAAAAAGGCACTTCATACACACACACACACAACAAAAGCAATTCATACACATACTATTTCATTAATTTGCTCTTTTTAAAGATAAAAAATTAATTTTTATTACTTTGTGTGGATTATTTATCACGTTTGGCGAATTTATTTTCATTTTAAACTAGGATTGTCGACGTGCGTTCGTTTAGTGCACTTACTTTTGTGGACAGATAGTCGAACCCTAGGACCGCCCGATCAGATTCCCAGCCGTGACAACAGCTATTTCCCCGAGCTCAATCAACCGTGGGAAGAAGAAACTGTGCGCGAGAAGAGACGTCGGGCGGGGTCGAGGCGGAAGCGAGCGGAGACACTTAGAGAGAGCGGAGGTTTTTAGAAAGACTTTTAT